GATTTTAGTTTTGGGGTTAATAAGTTTTGAGGTATATATAGGGTTTGGAGTAAAGGGTTTGGGGATAATTAAGTTTTGAGGTATATATAGGGTTTGGAGTTATAAGATTTGGGGTAAAAGTTTGAAAAAATATTGGACTTGAAAAACTATAATGTTTTTATAAGTGTTGAATCTTAGTTGTTGGGTATATTAATTAGATTTTGTTTTTAGAGTTTATGGTTTTAGGATTTGTTTAGGGTTTAGAAATTTGCATAGCCACAAATTTATTCATGGCAAATCTGTGCTTTCTTATAAATTTCCTCACAATGTTTAAAACGTTTTATTAAGTGTTAGGAATTTGGAATTGGGATTGTAGTTTTAAATATATGTAATAATTGAATTTTTGGTTTAGAAATATAAATTTATAAATAAATAGTATTTTTAGAAGATTAATCTTATGTAAAGTAAATATATATGTTTATTGTTTTAAATATTGATTTTGTGTATATATAATTTTATTTTTTTGTTTGTATGGTTTATGATTAAATCTCTATTATTAAGAGTTTTAAAGTTTAAGTTTTAGAGTTTATGATTTAGGGGTTTGAGTTAGATTAAGGATTTATGATAGGATTTTCTAATTTTTTCTATTTTGTTTCTAATCTCTTTACGAGTTTTGCGAGAGAATTGCAAAGGACCGTAGCAAATCCCTCGCAAATGGTTTAAGGTATAGGGTTCACCGGTTTAGGGATGCATAAGTGGTATCCACATTTGCGAGGGAATTGCTACGGACCCTCGCAATTCCTTCGCAAATCGAAAAAATCTATTTTTAAATAAACCAACAAAACAGTTATAAAATTTAGTTAAATTAAATTTCAAATATAATGGAATGTTCATTATTCTCATCATTGTCTCCTCCATCATCAGACTCTTTGAAGTCATCCGATTTTGCATCTTCTTTTGATCCATCTGACCCTTTAACTATTAAAGGGATTAAAGGAACGAATCACACTTTTACCACTAAACTATACCCGCTACAATGCAATTATTGCATATAAATTAACCTTTTGTCGGGACCCAATGACTTCGAAAGAATTGAACGAGGAGCCGTATGAGGTGAAGATTGTATTCTATTTCTCTAATAAGTAGATCAATATGTAAATCATCTTATGTTGTATATACTGAGACAAAGACTTCCACAACTCTTTGTATTGTATCATAATATCTCTGACTATAAGGCGTCTTAGTTTCATTTTTATAATCTATAACCATATTAATGGAATCAACAAAATATATTATTGCATGTACGTATTGATCCACTTTATAGAGAAGTAATATATCTTGGATGGATCCATCGAATATGAGAAATTGAACGAATTCAAAGATTTAGATGAGAGAGAGGACTCTTTTTAAACCTTTGAACACTCAAATATATTTGAAAATGAATTCAATTACATTTCATAAGTACTTTTCAAATTTTTATTTTCTCGATTTGCAATGGATTTGCTACAGCTCTCGCAAATACATCATCTATCTCTCGCAAATTTGCTATGGATTTTTTCTTTGCAAATCCGTCGCAAATTTGCGATGGATGTGCGAGGAAAGTTAGTTTTCTTACAAATACCCCACGAATCTCTCGCAAATTGGCGACGAAATTGCGAGGATACCCTCCCTCACAAATTTGCGAGGGATTTGCGAGGGATGTGACGTTTGTAACAGATGCCTCGCAATTCCATTGCAAATTTTCGAGAGACTATTTCCCTCGCAAATCTTCTTAGCAAATTGATTGTTTTCTTGTAGTGTGTATTTGTTGTAATCAACCAAAAAAATTAGAACAAATTATGTACGTAATCAGAATTTATAAGAACAAGAATTCATCTAAAACCCCATTGATATTTTACAAATAAACAATTTAACTTCTCAATTTCTTCGAGAAAAAAAGTTGGAAATGGCCCAGTTTCCAAATAAACAATTTTTTAAATAGTGACCGTCCAAACGGCCAAGTTTGGGAATTAAATCGTGATTGTCCAAACGGCCCAGTTTGGGTATTAAATCGTGACCGTCCAAAACAGGTCTGCAAATAAAAAACCTTAATATATAAACGCACTTGCAAACAATGCGATTTCATCCTCAACCTTCTATGTCTCGTTTGTTCTGAACTCTGATTCCTACTTTCACATTTCTCTAGTAAGATCACTTATTGTTTGCTTAGTACTCTATTATAGTCTCTAGATTTGATTAATATAGGCCTTTGATTCCCAGATTTATTCACCATCTTTAAATTTCAGCTTATTGTTTGCTTAGTCCTCTAATAGAGTCTCTAGATTCCACTAATATAGGCCTTTGATCCCCAGTTTACTTTTGTCTTTTTAGTTCCAGATGGCTTCGAATTTGATTCCGTTCAAGGGTTTTCCGACCCTTGAAATGATTGCAAAGTTGAAATACAACATCAACACACTTAACTCTGAGATTGAGACCCTGATTGTTACTACTCATCCGGTAGCAATCTCTCTTCTAAGTGAGAGTAAGTGTTTTCATATCTTTTTTCTGGAAATGTAAATACTGTTTTATTAATATAACTACTCTTTGTGTAGGAAAATCTAAGCTTTCCTCCCTCCTTGCAAAGGAGGAGGCCAAGGTCAAGCAGATGAGAAAGAGCTATGACCTTTTTTGTTATATCATTTCGTTTTTTGTAGTAATCAATTGAAAAAAAAAAAGAACAAATAACATACATAATTATAATCAAATTTACAAAGTAAACAAAATATTATAACCTTTATGTATTTGTTGTAATCAACCAAAAAAATTAGAACAAATTATGTACGTAATCAGAATTTATAAGAACAAGAATTCATCTAAAACCCCATTGATATTTTACATATAAACAATTTAACTTCTCAACAATTTCTATACACTGCATTGCTGTTTCTTAACAAATTTCTATACAACAAATGTCGGACAGAATTTGGTAGAGTCAGAATAAATAAGAACATTTGTATATTTTCTGATCAGCTAAAACATGTGTAACTAAACAAAATAATGATAATTGATTGGTCTTGTAAAGAAAATCAAAGAGAAATTTCACATTTTAGGCTATAAGAGAGATATTTTTCTCTTTATCAAGATTTTATTTTGACAACCAGGTAGAGATCCCGGGCCAAAACCCAGACTAATGCCTAGAAGATTTCTTACACTAAAATTTATATTTGATGGCATCTCCAACATATCGTAGTAGCAGCAATGCCATTTAAGGATCTCTATTGACCGCTCAATTTATTTTATCACTTGATACTTTTACTAATATTTTCTTTCATGGTTAGAGCTAGGCCTAGGAAATCAAACGAAAACATCTAAGGATTCAGAGTTGACGTTTTTTAAAAAAACATCTCACCTTTTTTAATATTGGAGGGATATGAATCTCTTCAAGTTCTCAAAGAACTTCTCATATTTCTCAGTCACCTCTTTCTTTTCTTCTTCATCCACCTCTTTGGTTGCTTCCTCACTCATTTCATCTTCCTTTGTGTCTTCATCATCCTTCTTTGAATTGATGATCTTGTAAGAAAGAGAAAGCCTAGGCAGCATTAGAATGCTTAGAGGAGGAAATGCTACTCTCTTGTGAGAAAGAGAAATCCCTTGAGATAACATTGGAAGCTTGTTAAATCCTTGGAATGAGAATGAACATCCAAGCAGCAAAGCCATGGAGAAGAAACTTTTTAGAAGACTAAAAAAAACAGAATTGGAGAAGAAGAAAAGTTTGAAGATGAGAGTAATGAGAAGCAAAGAAGAGACATATAATGTTGAGAAAGATGATGATGCAAAATGCTGAGGTATGATCAATCACGACAGAAGAAAGAAGCAAGTTTTATCAGTGAAAGAAAAAAAAAAGAAACGTTATGTGAGCACGATGGTGACAAGATGATGATACAAAATGCTAAGATATGATCAATCACAAAAGAAGAACGAAGAGAAGATTAAAACAGAGACCAAATTTAGTCATTGAAAAAGAAAAAATAAACGTTATGTGAGCATGATTTTGGTGACTCGGTTGATTAGCAAACCCGGTCAACCAAAAGCAAGCTAAATAAATGGATTTTAAGTGGTTTACTAGTAGAACCCACTTAAATGGTTAAGTGGATTGGTGAGTTAATTAAATGAATTCCCAAGTGTGTTTATGCTTTCCTATATTAAGGTTTCAACAAAGGTCAACCAAAGACAAGCTATTAACAAACTAGTGACTCATACCATTAGCAAACGCCAGTCAACCAAATACGTAATAATATAAGGGAGATTGACACAATAACACACTTTCTTGGAGAGTTTTTTTCATTTTGGCACACTTTGTGATATTAGAACACTTTTTACACTGTTCCTATGTCTAGATGGCCAACTTGTCCCCAATCAAAAACCAACACCAAACTAGGAGAAGAGAAATATATGTTATTTGAGCCGTTGTGGACAACTTTTTATGGATATATTTACCGTTATCGAATATAGGTCTCTTCGAAGTTAAGTCCTCGCTAGTTCATCCGTGAGAATGAGAGAAACTCCGACCAAGTTCCCTGAGACTTTTCCGACATCTTCAATGGGTCGAACTGCTTGTTTTGCTCATAGGTTTTGGCAATTAAAAAAATTATTTTTAAGCAAAATCTTTTTTTTTTTTTTTTTGTCAACGACTAGATTAAAAGATTATGTTATGTTTTTGCTTATTCTTATACATTTTTGATGATACGATGCTGGTAAAAAAATTTAGGTAGATAGGAATTTCTTTTTAACAAGAGAAAACTAAAAGATGTTGAAATATTTTTCGGAGATAAAAGAAAAACAAAGTAAAAAAAAAATGGTATGTTAAAGACACAATTGTGGCTATTATTAATTTACTGGTGTTATTTCTTAATTTTCAAAAAAAAAAAACAAATATTAAAAGCTAGATATTAATTGGTAATTAAGTTTTAACAGGATATCATTAGATCCAATAAAAACAATTAACTAGCTAAGATATAGTATACGATAGCCTTAATAGAAATTTAATCGCCGCATTTAAAACCTCCAGGACCACCATAAGACATAGAAACACCAACATCCTCATTAACGTATCCTAAATAGTGAACATCATAACATTTGTTGCTGTCCACCAATGGCACTGGCTTTAGCTTATCAAATCCGACAATGATATAGTTCGAATCTATTATGGTAAGATGGTCAAGAGAAGCAGACCAAAGACGATCATCTTTATCTGGAAGACGACCGTTACCCATTGGTCGACTTGGACCTCTTGGATTACTTGTTACATTTCTTCCGAATCCAACGAAATGAGCACCATCTCCTGAAAGATTAAACAACTCCTTTGGCCAATATCACACGGCTATTCGACTCTTATACGGTTTAAATTGTGTAACTCACCAGTTTTTTGTTTCCTTATCCTATATGAATTAGCAGATGCAGAAATAATTCGAAAGTGTTTGACAATCATAGATTTAAATAGAAAAAATATCCAAGCACAATTCATCATTATTCACTAATCAATCGTTGACTCGAAATTATTCTGATCATACAACTTTTGCTAAGATTAATCAATCGTTGATTCTAAATTATGCTCTAGTTTCATTTTAATAAGAAAACAGTATTGATTTGTTATGAGTAATTGTGTAACTAATTAGTTTTGTTTCTTAGAAACTAAGTTTTGTGAAAACATTGCATAAAATATTGAAAATTACCTGATGGATAGAAAGCCAGAGAAGATCTCATGAACATTGTACAAAGGTTCACTTAATGGAAAATCTTTGGCTACTTGAACAAAGCCTGGACATTGTACATTGAAACAGCATGTCCCATGTTTGCCCTAAAACTTTCAATATTAGTTAAATATTCAAACATGCAAGCATCCAAATTACATAAGATATGCAAAAATAGATAGCTAAATAAGTTGATAAGGATAAATAATCCATTTAACCATGCATATAAAAATAAAAGATGTTCGTTGTGAATTTACCAGCCATCCCGTACGACCATGGTCGTGTGTCGCCAAATAGTCTTTCATTTATCTATAAATGATTTTAAGAAATTTATGATTTTACAATTAAAAAACCAATTAATTATACAAAAATTATATATGATACGAAGAAAATATAATACCATCCCATCCAACTTGAATAGAATTAGCGTCATCGTTGGCCTGAGAGGCTACATAAGTTTGAGCAATTGAACTTTGATTTTTACCAATTGACAAGTCATAAGTGTTTATTCCTGCTCCTACGCCTCGGAAAATATTTGTTACTTCTGTTCTCATTCCCGCAGTCTATAAATATCATCAGTTCGACTAATGAAGGAGCTTCATGTGCATATTAATTTTACACAAAAACAGGCTTATAATATAAAGTTCAATACGTTTTGCTAGAATTGAACCATGCGAAAATATCTAGTTTAGCTAGCTAGATTATAATACATATCTAATAATTAAGTTTCGTAAAATAAAGGTTTTAGTTCTCTACTTTCAATATTTCCCTTTAAAAAAAAAATGCATCAGTTTAAACTGTAGGCCATTTTAAAACGGAAAATTAGTAATTCAGTTGTTTCAGTAAAGTATGAGATATCTTTGAATTTCAATAAAATAATTTATCGCCGGGTTTCTATCAAATTTCAAATCTAACAAATTCAAAATTGAATATTTGTGAAACATTATCTGGTCGCTACACAAAATACTAACTCATTTATTTCTTACAAAGCATATTCTAAAATCTAACAACATAAAATTTAATTAAACTTGAAAAAAATACATTTGTTAAGGATTTTATAAATCAATGTTTTTGAAAATCTCTAAAAATTAAGATGAAAACAATATTATGCATATTTTTAAAGTTCTCTGAATATATATTAGCAAACTTAAAAAAAATATTTAAAATAGGATAGGCTCTCTATAATGTTTTAAAAAAATATACATGATTTTGCTGGTTTATGTATAAACTTAGATTTAGTTCAAAAAAAAAAAATGTATAAACTTAGATTTATTTTTCAGCTACTCGAATAATAAAAAATCAAAATATTTATGAGAATAAACTTTTTATTGTATTTTCATAATAATTTACATTTTCCTACAAAAACAAAATCAATAACTCTTGTATTATGTGGTTGTTATTTTAATATTTGGTATATTTTTTGCAATGAAACTATAGAAATGATATACTTACATGGGTACCTGGATATTGAGCTGTGAGAAAAGTGAGATGATGATTGAGGTATTCTTGAGAATATATAACATTTTCTTTCTCGGTTCTTAAAATAGGAATGGTTCCACTTGGACATTCTACTCTTTTTTGCGCCTTCTGTTTACAAATATATTCTCTATTTGAGAATCCCATCTGGATGGTTCATCTAAGCCAAAAATTAAAAACAAAAAGGTGTAAGTATAATGTTCACTTAACAAACTAGCTTATTTAAATTGGAATTGATGTTCTGGATATGCCAGTGTTTATTTCTTGATTTGTTTATTTGTTATAACATAAAGTGGTTAACGACAATATTAACATATATATGATCAATTTTAAGACAAAACCAAAACCATCTTAGAGATTTGTTGAAAGTTGAAACTTGAAAGAGACTTCCCAACAATAAGAATGATCCCAAAAGACACTTACACACACATGATCTAACTCTAATTTATATGAATCTAATCTTGACTATTTTACTAATTTGGCAGTAACACCTGTTAAAATAAAATTCAGATTGCCTTCCTGAGTATAAAACTGTGTTAAAGAGAGTTGAAACATCCGGGTCAAAGTAAAAAATGAACCAAGGTTGTGTAAATTTGAGGTTGATCATTACTTGTACTTGTTTTAAACAAATTCTCTCAATAAAGTTTGAAGAATTAGTTACGTTAGTGAGCTTTAGAACATCTATATGTATATGTTTCATGCTTTTTCGTGTATATTAAAAACGATTAAAGAAGAAACGAAAACCAATATAACTGAATATTATGATGTTTCAGCAATGGATGACTAAGAGACGGTTGCTCATAAATATCCATGCAGTCGTAAATAACACTTTTACTCAACTATAAGAAAGAAATTCACATAAAGTAAAAACAACACTTAAGAAAATCACAGTACTCTATATGTATTTCTCTTTACCTTGATGGATTTCATATGAATAGTAGATTCGACATATGAAATTGAAAGTAGGATCACAACAAAATTCACGAACATATTCAGTGAAATCACAATGTAAAATTTTCAGTTCAGTGAGTGGATTATGTTAATTACGGAAATTTAATAGGATAAAAATTATTGAATGCATTGAAGTACAGTGAATGGATATATCTATCTTTAGACCTATAGTTAATGAATATCGCGGGGTGACAAATTATGAACAATATAAAGAGATTCAAAAAAGCCACAGACTTGATACTTTGTCACCCGCCAATTAAATACCCTTTAGGAAAAATAAGAGGTGCTTTGTAAAAATCCTCTATATCAATTAACTAGTGTAATTATTATTTAAAAACTCATTTTTTTTTGCAAGATAACATTTTAAATAGAAAAATACTTTAAATATTTACTTTTAGGAGATATAGTTTGTAAAATATTTATTATTTAAGTCAATTTTTATAAATATACTTTACCCATTTGAGATACCTTACATTTCTTTAATTTTGGATCTTAGTTTAGATTTACATCTTTAAGAAATAAGACATTTGATTGATAAAATTATTAATCTATATATAATAGCAATCTAATAAATACCATTTGCACATCAGAACGGTTGCCTTTTTTTATCGCAACATTTCGTTTAAATCAGTTATTTTTTACGGTTATGTCTTTTTATTGAATTTTCTCTTTGAATTTTCGTTGAATTATTTACGGTTATATTTGTTCAATTACAGTCGTATCTTTTCAGTTTACAGTTATATCTTTATTGTTGCATTTATTCATTTAAAGTTACGTCTTTCTATTATAAAATTTCATTGCATTTTTTGTTTAGTTAGTAATACTACAAAGTTTTTTTACATCAACCATTAGACTACATATCAAATTGGTTTTATTAACCAAAATAACAACCTCAATAAATGCATTTTGCACTTCTGAACGGTTGTGCCTCTTTATTGTAACTTTCCGTTAAAATATTAACGGTTATTTTTTTGGGTGTGTTTTTTATCGCAACTCTTCATTAAAATATTGACGGTTATTTTCGGTTGTGTCTTTTTATTGCAACTTTCCATTAAGATATTGGTTGTTACTTTATTCGTTTGTGTCTTTTTATCGCAGCTTTCCGTTAAAATATTGACGGTTATTTTTTCTCGGTTGTGTCTTTTTATCACAACTTTTCGTTAAAATATTGACGGTTATTTTTTCTCGGCTGTGTCTTTTTATCGCAACTCTTCGTTAAAATATTGACGGTTAATTTTTTAGTTGACGGTTATTTTTCGGTTATGTCTTTTTCTCGCAACTTTTCGTTAAAATATTAACGGTTACTTTTTTCGTTGACGGTTATTTTTTTGGTTGTGGTTTTTTCTTGCAACTTTCCGTTAAAATATTGACGGTTACTTTTTTCGTTTCTGTTTTTATCATAACTTTTTGTTAAAATATCGACGATATTTTTTTCTCGATTGTGTATTTTTTTGTCTGTTAAAATATTGGCGGTTATTATTTTCTCGGTTGTGTCTTTTTATCGCAATTTTTTGCTAAAATATTGACAGTTATTTTTTCTCGGTTGTATCTTTTTATCGCAACTCTTCGTTAAAATATTGACGGTTACTTTTATCGATGCCAGTTATTTTTTCGGTTGTGTATTTTTATCGTAACTTTCCGGTAAAATATTGACGGTCATTTTTTTGTGTCTTTCTATCGCATCTTTCCGTTAAAAGTTTGACAGTTCTTTTTTTCGTTGACGATTATTTTTTTGGTTATCTATTTTTATCGCAACTTTCCGTTAAAATATTAACATTACTTTTCTCGTTTGTGTCTTTTTATCGCAACTTTCGTTAAAATATTAACGGTTATTTTTTCTCGGTTGTATCTTTTTGTCCTAGGTTTTTGTTAAAATATTTACGGTTACAATTTTTAATTGATGGTTATTTTTTCGGTTGTGTCTTTTTATCCTAACTTTCAGTTAAAATATTGACGGTTTCTTTTTTTTGTTTTTGTCTTTTTATCGTATCTTTCCGTTAAAATATCGGTGGTTTCTTTTTCTCGGTTGTGTCTTTCTATCGCAACTTTCCGTTAAAATATTGACGGTTATTTTTCTCGGTTGTGTCTTTTTATCGCAACTCTTCGTTAAAATATTGACGGTTATTTTTTTCCGTTTGTGTCTTTTTATCGCATTTTTTCGTTTAAATATTGACTGCTATTTTTTCTCGGTTGTGTCTTTTTATCGCAACTCTTCGTTAAAATATTTACGGTTACATTTTTCGTTGACAGTTATTTTTTCTGATGTGTCTTTTTATCATAACTTTTCGTAAAAATGTTGACATTGACTTTTTTTGTTGTTTATCGCAACTTTTCGTTAAAATATTGACGGTTATTTTTTCTCGGTTGTGTGTTTTTATCGCAACTTTCTTTTAAAATATCGACGGTTATATTTTCTCGGTTATGTCTTTTTATCGCAACTCTTCGTTAAAATATTGACGGTTACTTTTTGTGTTGACGGTTATTTTTCTGGTTGTGTTTTTTTTTTTTTTTGGTTTTGACCTGCTAGAATTTTTCCTCTCTATATTATAACTCTTCGTTAGTTATTTTATCACTTATAAATAATTTTATATTCACAAAAAATGTTTCAAAAGTGTTTTTTAATCATAATTTTTTTTTTACATTTTTATTCATAATTTTTTTTGATATCTTTAGAAAATATTTACGATATAACTTTAAGACATAGTTAATTTTATATAATAATTCAATTATTTGAATATATTATAATAATAATAATTTAATACATAAACGTAATAAAATATATTTGTTGAAAATGAGTCCCCCGCGATATCGCGGGTTCATAACCTAGTTATATAAATTAAAATTTAATAAAAGAAAACCTTTATTCAATTTTGATCTACGTTAACCAAAAATATCAGAAAATAAAATATTCAATTGATAAGAAATATTATTTATTGTATTTGGAGTCTTGTTGTTTTATAAATAAAACAGTGCAATTTTGATATATATCATTTCTAATGGTACATTGCATAATCAGATCTCTGCCACACCGACATCAGTTTTTAAAAACATTGAGAAGGAACTTCGAAATACCATCACGGCTAGATGGAACCGGAAGCAATTCAGGAACTATATGCCCCTTTGGATCAGATAGTTTGTTGATTGACACACAACAATTTTATTTTGTAACTCTTGTTTTTTATTCATTTTTTGGCAAATTTACAAACCTAGGTTAAGCTCTTTTTTGTAAAACTTCAAAAACTTCATTATATATATAATGTTTAGTCTGAGAGATCATACATTTCATACCCACACGGCCTCCTCACCTGGTCGCCAATTCTTTTTTTTTTCGTCCGTGGATATATCCACTATACGTTTTCACAAATAACGAAGAATGGATTAATATTTCTTTAATCCAATAACGAAACATGAATCATATTAGTAGTTATTAGTTAGTTACTAGACAAAAATTAATTAGGAAATGAGTTGATATAAGAAAAAGAGTGTTCGGATCTTCAGCTATTAATCGTAATTGGATATTCTTAATATTTTATTTCTCCAACGTTAATTTGGTAGCCCGATCAAACTAGTGAGTCTTTGATTTTGTTCAGAAAAAATTTGTAACATTCCGGTTTCAGAAATGGTGGTGCATGCGGGGAGATTTAAAAGAATTGATTTGCCACCTATGTCATAAAAGTGAACTTACATTTTCGATCAACTGTTCTGAGAGAACTTCATAGTTAAGCGTGCTTGAGGTGGAGCAATTTCAGGATGGGCGATCTTCCGGAAAGTGATTGTCGAAACTGTGTGAGTGAGCACAAAACACAGGGAAAGATCATGTGGTGATTTGTAGGGTCGGTAAACAAGTTTTTAAAGCCTCCCGGACGTAGCGGACCAACCGTCGGACACGGATGGGCCTACGGGCCGAGAGAAGACGTAAGGCCCATTAAAAGAAAGATGGCGGTCGGAGCGTTACAAAACTTCCACTAGTGCAAATCAGACTAATCCTCTTGTTGTTGGAGATCATTGGATGACATAAATACCATGATCTTCTTGTATTTTTTTTATATTTGAATAGTAAAACTAATATTTCTACTGAAAACACAACCATTTTTTTTTCAAGTTGAATTAATTATAAATACCATGATCTTGTGTTTGTTTATTTAGCTAGGTAAACGACTTCCTTAATAAATTGGAGATGTTGTTATGTACATATAGGCTGCATGCTCTTAATTCTTGGAGAAGCTCTACCATATACCTCGTAAGGTTATACTATAACCAAATCAAACATTAAAACATAAACACACATGCATGATGAATGTCATAAAGTCACTTATAGTGTGACACAGTCTTATTTAATTTTCTTTCGTACATAAAAGGTTATACTATAACCAAACCAAACATTAAAACATAAACACACATGTCATAAAGTCACTCATATAGTGACACAGACAATTATTTTATGTAAACCACACACACACAGTTTACCACCAAAGAGTTCTCTTAGATTAACAGTCGAAGTAACAAATACATCTGTGATATGGGAAGCGATAGTTGCAAGATCCATGTCGTGCCCCCTCAAGATTAATACACTGATTCTTGCATGCATTATTGTTTCCACAAACTCCTGACCATGTCCCACTTGACCTCTCACATAACTTTGCTTCCACCATTGGTGCTTCTGCATATATATATTTCTTGGGTTAGTTGCAAATCAATACAATAAAAAAAATTATTATAGCAAAAGAAAATTGATAGCTCATTTACATATATATGATAAGATCATTTACTACTCACCGAGAGAAGCAAAGACAACCAGAGCAGCGAAAAAAAGGAAGATGATTGAAGCAAACTTAGCCATGACTATTACAACTTCGTTTTCAACGTATTAGGTGTGAGGAAATAAGCTTAGTATCAACCTCTATTTATAGTGAAATGATGGTAAGGTTAGTCTTTTACTTTTCATCTTACAATAAGTATGTTACTCCACAAGCTATACGCACACTTTCTTCTAGTAGACAATAGAAGATAAGACGTTTGACTAGTTCATAAGTGGGTTTCTTAATCAAATATCTGGCTGCCTAATCTACAACGTTGTTTACCAGTTTCTTACTTTTATTTTTATGTTTTGAGAGTCTTTTAGTCATTTACCACATTGTTTTATAGATTTTAGGTTGCTTTGTAGAAAAACGAGTCATTTTGGAATACTACTGCTTGACTGGGGATGCAATAGCTTTTAGGTTGCTTTGTAGAAGCATAAACAAATTAGTATTTGTTGGAAGAATTCAAATTGTTATATTGAGCTAAAACTTTGGACACAAGATATTTGCTTGAGACAATTTTCATTTTTAAGTAGTTTCAGGTCATTCCGATTAATGATCTAAAAGTTCTAACCGTTTTTTTTACTGAAAACATGTTTCTCGTGAATAGATGGAACATAAACATAAATTTGTAATCTAGAAAGATGGTTCGTTCGATTTACACATTAGACTGACTGGACCATTTGCAGACGCAAATTTTGAGACCCAAATAAACCCAAATATCCAATTCGATTCTTTTGGTTTTGAAACCTACGATAATTTTGATTATTTTGATTTTTTGATATAGCATGAAAAGACGAATCTCTGGTCCTACAGTGTTTTTGGACATATTAATTTTTTTTTGTTTTGTAATTTCATAATGTTTTTCATATATTATTTTGCTTTGAATTTTTCTATATGTGAGTAGTTTCCTTCAAGATTTTCAAAAGGATTGCATTGTTTGTTTGATTGATTGAGATGTTGACTTAGGAAACTGTAATTTAGCTTCTTCATCTATGATGTTCTTGATGTTGTAGCTAACTAGTTTCAGATCTTAGATTGTTTAAGCATAAAAAATAGTTGTTTAAAATGCAATGCATGATAGAATTTAGATGAGTAAAACATTGATAGCCAACGAAAAGTTGAGGTTAGGATTTTCTGTGAACATATCAAACTAGTTTTAAATGTATGTTTCATTTCCTCAATCAAACGATAGTTCGGAAGCTTAGGTTTTAAAGACGTTTTAATGGATTTTGCGACATGTAAATTTTAAAATCGTGATTTGAGTTTATTTTCTAATGATTTTTTTCCGTTTCTGCATGCATGAGTACTTGCAAAATTATTGATGTATAATGCTTTTAATGTATTGCTTTATCGTTTGCTTTAAATATATTCTCTACTTAATTTTTAAGAAAATAACCAAAAGCCATATTTTAGTTTAGTTCTACATTATTTTCGCAGACTTTTCATGGATTTGATCATTAATATATTACTGTAGTTTATTGTACATTTACAGCTATTTACTTTTGTTAAAACTTTAATTATCACTATATATCTCTATCTAATGTTGACCTAAGCGGCTGCTTTGGCTTCGAGGTAGTGCTACTTCTATATCATTCACATAAGGTGGCAGAGGCTGGTCAATTTGGATAAATTATCAAGTAATATCTGAGTAGAACAACTGTTTTCGGTCATGGTTGCGGAAAATTCGTTGACATTGTGTCTAATAAAAGGCAGTAAAACTAAAATATACAAAGCTGACGGATGTGATCAGTGGAAACGAGAATCCATTATCATTATCTAAATCAGATAATGGTTGAACCACAATGGTTCACAAATTTTCCATGAAACGACAACTATTTAATATGTTTTTATGCCTTTTTATTTTCTTTCAAAATTCTTATCTTATTCTTTTCCCATTTTTTTTCTTATCTTATTATTACATGAGCTAGGAAGAAGATATATACATGTTAAACCTAATGACAAAAATAAACAAGTATGAAACCCTTCTAATTAAATACGTCCAAAGCCCCTTCTACAAAAAGATCATAACTAGTCATGTATAAATAATTGCGTAGAACAATCTAGCAGAAATTTTTTAATAGCTATTTTGTTAAAAGAGCTAAAACCGTTGGGAAATGAAAAAGATAGATAGATATGACCAAGCATAATAATGGATATGTTCTTACTAGGTTCATTGCATAGTATAGAGCTAAAAGAGTGACTTTAAGGATACCTGATTGGTTATTTGTTTGAGTGGCAAGGACAAAGTCTCCCATATACTATAATGATGTCACCAGTCTGTAATCTTTTTTTCTCTCCTAGTTATTAGAACTAGGTGATTACCCACGCTACGCGTGGGTTTGTTTTGAAAATTGTTAAAAAAAATTATGTCGAATGTTCTTATTGCTAATTTATGTTTTTTTGTTTATTTGTTATCGTGTAATTAATAAAATTAGATCCATCTTATGTAGTTATAATTTTTGTGGTTACATTTATTTTTGACCCGAAATATCAATTTATGCATTTTCATGTATAAATTTGATTATTTATGTATCTAAGATCCTAATGTTTTTCATTATCATGGCTACATACAATAATTATATAGGATATTTTGATACAGTAATATATAATTATGTTACTTGTGTGGTTTGAAACTTTTCTAACTTAATTATAAATATAAAAAAATTCATTGCTCTATTAACTCTCCTGATCTAGTACTCCGACCACATCATAATAGGCTCATGATTAAATATTGGATTGACATAATTTGAACAAGATTTCAAGAGTTTTCATATGAAAAAAAAAAAACCAAAAAATTAAAGAGTCATTTATCATCACTTTTAGATCTTCTACTATTGCATATAGCCACATAAAATATATAGTCGTGTCTTGAATTCCTTAGTATGTCTAACATCTCAAAGGTTTAAGGTAAAATTATTAAACTAATAAGATTGCATACAACACATATTTATCGTATATGAACCATAAAACGTAATAATGAAAAAAGATTTAAGGTAAAATTATTAAACTAATAAGATGTTAGGGAGCAAACAACTAAACTACAACACATATTTATTTTTAGTTATTAGTCACCATTGATAAAAATTAAAAAAAAAAATTAGTAAAATAAGAAGAGTAAAATGAAGAACTTTATAATTTTATAATTTTATAATATTAACATAATTTTATAATTTTCATATTTTGAAGAAATAAGTTAAGAGTAGGATTTAAGAGGATTTAATGCAATAAAGAACTTTTCTTCTTTTTTTTTCATTTAATTTTGCAAATTTTTTTATTTAAATAATGTACAATAACACATGTCATTTGTTTGTGTGATGATGTGACACTCATATAGAGAGAGTTGACCAACTTTCATATATATGATTTTCTTGACATTATCTAATCTAAATAGGACTTATCATCGGTATGAGTTTATTTCTTAAAGTGTTTTTGTACGTTCTTGGCATTATATCTTCATTCGTCAGCACGAGTTAAATTTGGCATTTTAGCATTGAAGATGATTACATTTTTGATTGGCCAAATGTGAAAACACAATAATATACAAAAAAAAATAAAATCTTGTCGTGTATCAAAAACACTGATCGGAAGAACATCAGAACATGAGCTTGTTGTGTTTTTATAACTTTAACATGATGTAACAATGCTCAAGGGGGTCCTAGTTGGTTGTAAGGTTTATTCGATTGCGAAAGAATGTTTATTAACTCTGTTACCATGATTATGTAATGTGTTATGCAGATCATTTTTTTTGTTTATGTACATAACCACAAACGAATAATTATATTTAAAGTCAATAAAAAGAGTCTTACTCTTACAGATTAGAGCTTGGTTCAATTCTGTAAACTCTTCCAAAACAATACTCATTGGCTCTCTAATTTGCGATGCACACAAAGGCACTGCAAATAAAAGAAGCTTGCCAAAACAAGCACGAAACATCTTATTAATTCTTCACAAATGCACAAAGAAAAAGTATGAATGGACTGTAGTTGTAAACCCATTAATAGATTTAATATCCTGAGTTCTACAGAGTGATTGACGCGGCGCTTACTTGATTATACAGTTGCTGCTTTCGGGGACAAAAAATCGGAGATCTTGCTGGTGTAGAAATCTGGTTGTATCTTGTTCTCAGGGCTTTCCAACATTGAGATTGAAGTAACACCTTCAAGTCCACAAAACAAAATGCATAAAAATTTGATTGACTTAGATGGTTAAACCGAGTTAGTGTTGATAAAGGAACTGTTTACGGATTAGTTATACCCGAGAGGACGAGCAGAGTTTTACATCCGCCATTCTGCCCGAATAAAATGTCAGTGTCCAATCTATCACCCACCATGCATATCTGTGACTTTTGGATTCCAAATCTGCACATATTTTTTATCAGCAGAGTACAATATTAGTAATCACCATCTCATTACGTAACGATTTCATTTGAGATTCTTTCAATCTCGCACTTGTAGCGTATTGTTATAAACAAGGGAAACAGAATACAAATGTATTGTTATAAACAAAGTGAAGCTTTCGAAAACCAAATGAGACTAGAAGAAAAATTCTAGAAAACCAACAATACTTGTAAACAAAAGATAATTATTCTAGCACTCCATCACGTTATGCACAATCCAACCATAACGCTCATCAATGGACATACTAACAAAGACTTCTTTCATTCCTAATTGGTGAATCAGTTTAGCGGCATTGTAAAGAACTGTGTTTTCCAAATTAGGAACTTCTTTGATAGCTTCTCATACGTTATTTTTCTTCTTCTCAGCCTCTCTTTGTTCAGATTCTCTTTGCTGTCTTGTTTCTCTTTCTTGTATTAGATTGAAGAGTTTATGAGTTACTGTTGTCAATGAATTCATCTCGGTATGGACTTCTTCTGAATCTTCACTATGAGTTTTTGGTTCACCTACATCGTTAGTATTGCTTCTACGTTTCTTTCTCACAGGAAGTTTTCCTGAAGGGCCCCTTAAATTGCTGTCCACAAAAGACGAAGGTGTTTCATGATCTTCCTCGACATCCATAGAAAAATCTTCAATAGAACTTGTTTGCTTTTTTCCAGCAATTTCACATGTTCGAGCATCCGTACCATCACCTAATCCAATAGCATTCCCACCGGTCAAAATTCAAGGTATTGTCATACAAAAGACACTTTTAATAGGTCAACGTTTGCAACAAGCGTGAACTTTCACAAAGTTTTGCGGGCTCTTAATCAAATTGCTCCAAGTTTGATGGCTAAACCCAAGATTGCAGTGCCTACCAAAATTAGAGAAAGTACGAGGTTTTATCTGTATTTTAAGGTATATCTTTCATATAGTTATTATGTCTTTGCTTTTTCATTATCTTTCATGGAATATAATTTTATTGTTATTTAGGATTGTGTTGGAGCTATTGATGGTACACATATCCTTGCAATGGTATCACAGAAAAAAGCGCATTCTTTTCGTAACAGAAAAGGTGATATATCACAAAATGTGTTGGCTGCTTGTAATTTTGATCTCGAATTCATGTATGTGCTTAGTGGATGGGAAGGTTCAGCTCATGACTCAAAAGTATTAAATGATGCTTTGACAAGGAACAGTAATCGACTACCAGTTCCAGAAGGTACGTACATGTCTTTATATTGTAAATTTGTTTTCTCAACAAGACAAGTGCTATATTATTATTGTATCTTTTATAAGAAATTATTGTTGTATTTCAGGAAAGTTTTATGTAGTAGATTGTGGATTTCCAAATCGTCGAAACTTTTTAGCTCCGTATCGTGGTGTCAGATATCATCTACAAGAATATTCTGGTCAAAATTCACAACCAACGAATGCAAAAGAGTTGTTTAACCATCGTCATGCATCCTTAAGGAACGTGGTTGAAAGAATATTTGGTATTTTTAAATCTCGATTTCTAATCTTTAAATCTGCACCTCCTTTTCCTTATAAGACGCAGACAGAGATTGTACTTGCATGTGTTGGTTTACATAATTTTCTTCGAAAGTTTTTTCGAACGGATAATTTTCTGGAAGAAGACGAAAGTGCAGAAGAAGTTGTCGAAGAAATTAATGACAATAATGATGAAGTTCTTACAACCCAAGATCAACAGAGAGAATATGTCAATCAGTGGAGAGAAACAATAGCATCAAACATGTGGAGTGATTCAATTGAGAATTCATAGATCAGAACGTGACAGATTATTTCTTAAAGATTGTAATGTTTTAATTTTATAATCCTTTTGTATCAATTTCAAATCTGCTTTATTTGACTTTAAATTCCACTTTATTTGACTTTCAAATCCACGTTGTTTGATTTTTAAAAGAATGGATTCTGTGTGAATTTCCAAATGTTACTTGGATTTCCAAATCCATTCAAATCAATGATCCAATAACCCCCTTAGTTTTTAAGACATTTTAATGAATTTTGTGACATGTAAATATAAAATCGTTATTTGAGTTTATTTTCTGATGATTTTTTCTGTTTCTGCATGCAGGAGTACGTACTTGCAAAATTATTGATGTATAATCCGTTTAATGTATTTGCTTTATCGTTTGTTTTAATTATATTCTCTACTTAATTTAAAAAAGTAACCAAAAACCATATTTTAGCTTAATTCTACATTATTTTCGCAGACTTTTCATGGATTTGATCTTTAATATTTTACTGTAATTTATTGTACATTTATGTTAAAACCTAAATTATCACTATCTCTATCTCTATCTCTATCGAAGGTTGACCTAAGCGGCTGCTTTGGCTTCGAGTTAGTGCTATAACATTCACATAGGTGGCAGAAGCTAGTTAACTTGGATAAATTTTTATTGAGTAATATTTGAGTAGAACAACTGTTTTCGTTCATAGTTGCGGAAAATTCGTTGAAACTACTATGTCTGAAAGGCAGTAAAAGTAAAATATACAAAGCTGACGGATATGAAGTGGAAACGAGAATCATTATCATTATCAAATCAGATAATGGTGGAACCACAATGGTTCACAAATTTTCCATGAAATGACAACTATTTGATATGTTTTTATGCCTTTTTATTTTCTTTCAATAATTCTTATCTTATTCTTTTTCTATTTTTTTTTTATCTTATTATTACAGCCAGGAAGAAGATATATAAATTAAACAAGTCTGAAACCCTTCTAATTAAATACGTCCAAAGCCCCTTCTACAAGAAGATCATAACTAGTCATGTATAAATAATTGCGTGGAACAATCTAGCAGAAAAATTTTAATAGCTGTTTTGTTGAAAGAGCTAAAAGCGTCGGAAACAAAATGGGTTTTGTGAAAAAAAAGCTTCCAACTCATCCATTTTTGTAACTTTACTCTTCATCTAAAGAAAATGCAGATTAATCATACAAAATCTAAAATAATACTCAATGTAACCCTTATTTGCTACCGTCAAATTCGTAAAATTTTGACCAATAATATGTCAAATCGAAGTCCTCGCGATGAAGAGTTCAACTCTACTTTTAAAATTTTTAAAAACTAATGTATGTGACCGGAAAAACGTTTACAAGATACGTATAAGGGTTATATATATTGAGTATTATTTTGGATTTCGTAGGATTAATCTGCATTTTTCGGAGATGGAGGGTAAAATTGCAAAAATAGACGAGTTGGAAGGTTTCTTTGCACAAAAGCCCAAAAAAAAAGATAGATAGATATGACCAAGCATAATAATGGATATCTTCTTACTAGCTAGGTTCATTGCATAGTATAGAGCTAAAAGAGTGATTTTAAGGATACCTGATTGGTTATTTGTTTGAGTGGCAAGGACAAAGTCTCCCATATTGATATATGTCACCAGTCTGTAATCTTTTTTCTCTTCAAGTTATTAGAATTTTATTGACATTATCTAATCAAAATAGGACTTATCATCGGAATGAGTTAATTTCTTAAAGAGTTTTTGTACGTTCTTGGCATTATCTATCTTCATTCGTCAGCACGAGTTAAATATTGGCATTTTAGCATTGAAGATGATGATTACATTTTTGATTGACCAAATGTGAAACACAATATACAAAAAAAAAAATATTGTGTGTCAAAAACACTGATCGGAAGAACATCAGAACATGAACTTCTTGTGTTTTTATAACTTGAACATAATGTAATACTGCTCAAGGGGGTCCTAGTTGGTTGTAAGGTTTATTCAATTGCGAAAGAATGTTTATTAACTCTGTTACCATGATTATGTAATGTGTTATGCACAGGGGTTCAAAAGAGATTGTTTGACATTAACTCAAAAGCATTATATATGCCTTGTGCTTGTCATAGTCTAAATCTTCTAGTAAGTGATATGGCTCATTCTTGTGTGAAAGCTATTTCTTTTTTTTGGAGCATTGCAACGAATATATGTATTATTTTCTAGCTCTAAAAAAAGATGGAAAATGTTGCTTGATCATGTTCCTTACTTAACTATGAAATCTTTTTCTAATACTCGATGGGAAAGCCGAATAAAAAGTGTCAAAGCTATTAGGTTTCAAGCTTCTCAAGTGAGATTAGCTTTAATCGATCTACATGAATCATGTGATGATGCCATAACAAAAAATGAAACAGAAAGTTTAGTAAATTCACTTGAGAATTATGAGTTTTTACTTGGTATGACTATTTGGTATGAAATTTTGTTTGTCATGAACACGTAAGCAAGAACTTACAATCAAAATCGATATGCATTGATAGTGCTATAAAACAATTAGAAGGTATAATCTTATATTTTGAAAAGTATCGAGATGAAGGGTTTAGTTCTTGTTTGAAAGTAGCTCAAGGTCTTGCTCATGATATGAATGTTGATCCTATATTTCCAAGTAGGCGTCGTGTCTTTAGAAAAAAAAAACACTTTGATGAGAATGATCATGATGAAGAAGCATTATCGGTTGAAGATGATTTTAGAGTCAATTATTTTCTTGTTGTTGTGGATATGGCAATTTCTTCGGTAAAGAATAGATTTGAACAAATGATGACTTTTAAAAGTGTATTTGGATTTTTGTTTGATTCATTGAAATTAAAATCACTTGATGAAAGTGATTTAAAAGAGCATTGCATTAATTTTTACAAAACATTTTCTCATGATAATGTCTCGAATGTTGATTTTAATGATTTTTTTTTCAGAATTAAAAGTTTTGCAAATGTGTTTATCCCAAGTGTCAATGACACCTAGTAAAGTGCTTGAGTTTGTAGAAAATGTAGGTTGTTATCCGAGTGTTTCAATTGCTTATCGAATCCTATTAACAACACCCGTGACGGTAGCTTCGGCCGAGAGAAGCTTTTTTAAAATTGAAGTTATTAAAAAATTATATGAGGTCCTCTATGTCTCAACAAAGGTTGAATGGTCTAGCTATTCTATGCATTGAAAACAGTTTGTTAGAAAGCATAGACTTTGAAACTGTCATTCATGAGTTTGCGTCGACTAGAGCTCGTCAAAATCGTTTCTTTATTCCGAAATAACTATTGTATTTTGTTTTGTTGTTTTAGATCCAACGGAAGAAGGATGCATGAGATATGACGCAATATAAAGCAATGTGGTAGATGAAGACATGGAGCTTAAGACATGATTATATGAAATGGTTTTTGTTTTTAGCATGCTTGAAAAGGCCATTTTTGTAAGTTGCCCTAAGGCTTCTCGATTGTTAGAGCCGGGGCTGGTTATGCATAGCCTTTTTCTTGTTTATATACATAACAACAAACGAATAATTTAAAGTCAATAAAGACTCTTACACTTACAGATTAGAGCTTGTTTCAATTCTGTAAACTCTTCCTAAACAATACTCATTGGCTCGCTAATTTGCGATGCACACAAAGGCACTGCAAATAAAAGAAGCTTGCCAAAACAAGCACAAAACATCGTATTATTATACACAAAGGCACAAAGTATGAATGGACTGTAGTTGTAAACCAATAAATAGATTCAGTATCCTGAGTTCTACATAGTGATTGACGCGGAGCTTACTTGATTATACAGTTGCTGCTTTCGGGGACAGAAAATCGGAGATCTTGCTGGTGTAGAAATCTGGTTGTATCTTGTTCTCAGGGCTTTCCAACATTGAGATTGAAGTAACACCTTCAGGTCCACAAAAAAATGAATAAAATTTGAATGAAGTTGATGGTTAAACCGAGTAAACGTCGATAGAGAAACTGTTTACGGATTAGTTATACCCGAGAGGACGAGCAGAGTTTTACATCCGCCATTCTGCCCGAATAAAATGTCAGTGTCCAATCTATCACCCACCATGCATATCTGTGACTTCTGGATTCCAAATCTGCACATATTTTAGCGAAGTACAATATTAGTGATCACCAACTCATTACGTAACTATTTCATTTGAGATTCTTTTCAATCTCGCACTTGTAGCGTATTGTTATAAATGAGGGAAACAGAATACAAATGTAGAAAGAAGAAATAGGAGAATCTGGAAGCCTTACTTGTCTGCTAAATAGTCCATCATAAAAGTTGAGGGTTTTCCAACAACAAGAGGCTCACGTTGAGTGGATCCAACAAGAGCACCAACCATAGAACCACCACCTGAGATCGAGTAATCGCACATTAACCGGTCCAAGGAGGAAAAAAATGGTGAACACAGACAACAAAATAACTTCTGTATAACGGTCCATTACCAAATTTACTTAGGAACTAATAGGAGAGGAATAAATCAAAATGCTCAAACTACAGCTTCAAAAAAAACAGTAGAAGATAATGCATACAAGAAGCCAACCTGCCCATTCTTGAGCATCGGTAAGGTGAGTGACTGCATCTCGGTTTGTAGCAATGAAAAGACACCCTGGGTTTTCTCGGATACATAGTGTTCCATACCTTCCATAGAAAATAAGCTCTTAGATCACCAAACGCAGAACACAAAGATCTATAACGGATAGCTCAACCATAAACCATCAAGAATATCAGTCCTGAAGTCTGGAAGGAAACTCATAATAGGAGGACCTACTGAATTTTGTAGTAGTTGAAATAGCGATCAAATCCAACCACAACAGCTCCCACCTGAAAAACATTCTCAGTTTCAGTCTCAAGAACAACACTCTCATGGTTTCTATAAGTTGAAAGAGAAACAGAAACATAAAGAAACAAAAGGTATAAGAAGGATGTTATACATCATGTTCATGCTCCATTAGAAATCCTGGCTTTAATTCAATCTGTCTTTTACCATCATCCTGTTTATGAAGAAAGATCACAGAGAACCAAGACCGGGAAGTTAGTATCAGCGCAAATACAAATCCGGGAAGCTACTAAGAAAGGTCACAATACATACCGGACCTCCAAGGTATTGAAAACCAGCAAGCTCGAGCTCTTTCAAGATACCTTCCTCACCAATCACGTAGACCTGGATAAATATGCATCAGAATTTGCAAAGACATAAGACATACTCTTGATGACAATGTACCACCAAAAATTGAATTTTGAGCTTTGGTTGGATATTTTCGATTGAAAGACGGCTTATACCTTCTTATCTTTTGGGAAATTAATAGACTGCAAGTATGCAGCTGCAGCAAAAGATGAAGCAAATATCTCCTCCTGAGATAAGAATGATACAATAATCAAAAACAGATTTAAGAGCACCTAGAGTAGCTAGATTGAGAAATAAGTCACTAACCTCGTTAACATTCAGACCAAGAGTCTCAAACTTTTTTCCATACTGTTTCCTAGATTTTGTTGAGTTGTTTGTGACAAAAACCAACCTCTTTCCCTGAAAATTTATGAATACCAAGAAAAGCAATTGATGTAATGGACACAAATTTCCAAAAAGCTAAAACATCACCATTACAGACTAAATAAATTGAACAAGAGATCGCTTACCGACCTTGGCACGAAGCATATCAAGAGTTTCAGGAACTCCCTCAATCAATTTATCTCCCTTCCAGATTACGCCTTCAAAACACACAAACCAATAAAACACAAATGGTTCAATAACCGAGGTGGCCTAAACCCAAACTCATCTCCGAAACCCGTAGAAAGCCGGGTTTCTTGTCATTTACGGCGTCTATAGTTGCTAAGAGGAACCAAAACGATATTTTTCATATATAGTTGGTGGAACTCCATTATCAAGATTTTGTGATTCCAAAATAACTTGTAGCACAATGAGCTCTCATTTGTCGTCAATGCACATCAACACCACAACCAAAAGACGCATAATAGTTTAAAAACAATCATAGATCTAATCAAGAAACTACATCTTTCTCAATAATCTCCCAAACTCTTCCCTATCTACACATTATTCATCTGAACATTATCTAAACTAAGTGATTATAAAATATCATTTTGTGGTTGTTGATACTGACCATCACAATCGAAGATAAAAGTTTCGACAGAATCAATGAGCTGATCAGCGTTTTCAAGCTGTTGCGTGGCCATAGCTCTTGGAGTCATATTAGAACTAGTCATTCGAAGAGGTTTATGGTTGATTTTACGAAAGGAGCCGCCGCAGAAAGAAGAAGAACGATAACCGGAGAGGGTTTTGAGACAGAAGATAGGTTTTGAGTTTGGTAAGAGAGAAGAAGAAGAGACCGGTGAAACAGCAGATGCAACTGATCTACTCAGCATTTTTTCTCTCTTTTTCTCTGTTTCCGCTTCTTTTGGTATTTTTTATTTATTTAAGAAAAAAATATAAAAAAATTGTTTCTGTTTCTTTAACATGATTATGGATGGTGCTGACGTGGTATATTGGGTGGATGTGGTAGAAGATATTATCCGAATATTTCTTAGCCAATACATTGGATGAAGAATTATTGGACACACATTAAAATGTGACATTACAATCACCAACCAAACATACATAGGAAGAGTCAAGAGATAAGCTCCAAAGTGTTTTGAGAACTGCCACAAGAGCTAGAGAGTTTCATCACTCAGTGAGGTCATTTCAGTCTTCTTTTGTTGCTCTGTAGTTTGTTGTCGGTGTGACTTCCGGTGATGGAGCCAACTAGTGTGACAAATGCGTTACGGGAAAGAAAATTTATAAAATTGAATCCATTAATTGGTCCTTTTTGTTTAGATTTCTTCTTCATAAGCCGTAACGTTCATGAGAACTTTTGAGAGATTAATTGAAAGATTTACCAATTCGTTTAACCGATGTAAACGGATGTCGACTAGGTCAAAGAAAGATTTAGAGGAGATGTGGCTTTGTAGTTTATCCTAAATTAATGGGATTGTATCCACACTAATTCGAGTTTAATATTTGTGGGATTTGGTAGTTAAGTCACACAATTTTTTATTAATTGGGATAGAGAGAAAATTGCAGAGACTTTTAAGACTTGTGTTTCTTCTTAGCTCTAAATTTTGATCAAAATTCAACAATATACATTAAACTCCCTAAAACAATTTCGACCTTTTATGTGTTTCAAAAATATTCATATAAAAAATACACACTGACGAATTATTAATTTGTACACCCATTAAAGTGTGACATAATCACATTACAAACATGAACCAACACACAAAAATGTGTAAATGAATAGAATAAAATGAAACTGAAAATTAAAGCTTAAGTTGAAATGGGTAAGAAGGCCAATCCTTAAGATCTTCTTCTTGCCTCCTTACCTTAAAATCATCATCATCTACAACACTCTCATCCAAATAATCACTATACTTCAACAAAAACGCTAACACAAGAACAATCCACTCTAAGCAAAACATCACTACACATAAACCACCAGCGAGTTTAAGTATCACTGCACCGTCTTCTTCCCGAACATACGATTTCAAGAACCTAAGGAAATCCCCTGTTCTCGTGAATATCAGAACAGAGACTGCTCCTTGGAAAATGGCCGTGAGGACTGTGGCTACCATGTGGGAACCGTATAATCTATCGCTAGCGGTGGCGGATGTGGAGGAGGCGAAGATCGAGCAGCCAGAGACCGCGGTGGCAATTGTGAGAGTGTGGAGGAAGATGAGGGAGAGACCGGAGAGAGATGGGAAGAGACGGAGGGAGATTGTGAGGAAGATGCAGCTTGAGGCTGAGCCTAAGAGGATGTAGTTGCAGAGAAGGAAGATGTTGTGTGTGTTGCCTTTTGATTTCGACATTCCCATTTTCTTGAATTTGAGAAGAGAACTCTGTTTTTTTTTTAACTGGGATTGCTTTTTGATGTTTGTTTTTGTGTTTCTTGATTGCTTCACTTGGATTTAGGGTTTTATATGCATACATAACATAAGCAACAATTTGAGGAACGTTAAAAGCTGGGATTTTGTTGGGATTAACGGTCGTTTTTGTTTTTTAAAAATATGACCGTTATGACTTAAAGACGAAGACAAATAATTCAATTAAGGTGCAACGGCTCGATAACTTTTTAATCTTCATTTTTTTTTTTTTTAAAGGAGTAATTGTTTATGTATGGTTTTTTAAGGTCAAGTGGTCAGCAATGTGGTTGTCCCACTCAGGACACTAATATGTTTCATAATATGATATTATTAAGAATTAGTTTAAGAGTTTTTTTAAGAAAATAATTTTAGTGACAAATAGTTAATAAAATAGATATTAATTTTGCTAAATATAATATGTTAATAAATAACACACTTTATATGATATTCTGTTTATTAATAAAGTCCAACACATATGAGAAAGCATATAGCAATTTTAGGATTGTCACTTAGTGTTGATGTTAAAAAAATAGCGGGTCAATTACTCCAAAAGTGTTATAAAACTCTCATTTGAATATGAATTTTCTCAAAACAAATTTTAACAAATCTCAAATAGTATTTTCAATAAAAGTTTCTACAAAAAAATTGTCATGTTTTAATTGGGAACAGACACACATCGCATTTGTTGACGGAGATATCTTTGAAATATGTAAATGATATTGGAAATGTTAGTGGTTATTCGGGATAAATTTAAGCTTTTTTTTATCACAATGTGCTAGTTTGGCTGTTTGTCGATTGTGAACGATCAATGTAATAAATAAAATTAAATAAAATGCTTTGACTGAAAAAAAAATTGTACCTTGTTGTTTTGGAAAAATTTGATTCGTGGTAGTCAAAGAAAAATATGTTACTCAAATAAAATCATTTAATGGATGAAGTTTGACTAAAATAAAAAAAAAATTAACAATATTTAATATTAAAAAGTAACCTACCAATTTAAATGTTTTTTCTTTAAACTACCATCCAAATGTTGTACCTTGGAAAACTTTGATTCGTTGTAGTCAAATAAAAATATGTTACTCAAATAAAATCACTTAATGCATGAAGTTTGACTAGAATAAAACTTTTTTTTAAAAAATAATATTAAAAATAACCTCCCAATTTTAAATGTTTTTTCTTTAAAATGTAATATTTTTAAGACTAGTCATAATTATTTGAAACTATTAATGCACTTACCTTAATATATAGAATTCTAGAAGAAAAAGGCTTAATATTGGCATTTAATCTATATGAAATTTAATTCATGCACATTATTAGACTTCTAATTATAGAACTTTAGGAAAAACGTAAACTATTTCATGAAATTTGAGGTGTTTTTAACTTATTTAATGAATTAAAACTTTTTTTTTTTAACACATTAAAATTTGTGATTGAACTCTATATATATCCTTGTCTGCTGTGAGGATTTTTGAAAGCTACAAGCAAACATATAGACGGTCATATACAAAGCAAACGTATAGGACGCCATAGCTACGAAGAAGATAAAGGTATGTGAGCTTTTATATGCAGATTTCAAAACATTTATTTTGTTATGACGATTCAAAACTCAGATTTTTTTTTCTTTTTTACATATATTATAGACCATTCTCAAATATATAGACGTAAAAAAACAAATACTAGATTATGTTTTTTTTTTAAATATACCCACACTTGTTTGTAATCAGATTCATAGTGAATAAAAAACCATTTACACACGCATATATTTTCTGACAATTATTAAGAAAATAGATCCACCACACACCACTATGATGATATTAGCACTCAAATCTTTTTACACATCAACTATTAAGACTAGAAATGAATAACTCAAAATGTATGATATTGAAAAAAAACTTTAAAAAGCGCATGAATCGTTTTCTCTTATATTTAAATCCTAAATATGAAATATTATCTGGTCATTTATATATAGAATAATAATCACATTATCTTTTTATTCGTAGGAGGAAAAAACAATTCTCAATAAATAAATTTCTACATAGAGGAAGTGTCAAATTTAAATATATATTTTTCGTTATCATATCTCAAAATTTAAGATTACCAAAAGAGAAAACTTATTGTGAGCATGTCGTTTTGTTATAGAATTTTATATTAATTTTAAACTTGAAATACTAACTTACCATTTAACTATTAAATACCTAACAATCACATTGCCTTAACATTCTTAGATGAAAAATCAAAGCAATTCTCAATAATAAAATTTATGCATAGCGAAACTACTATATCTTAATATTATTTTTTTGGTCGGATTAAAGTTTGTTATTAAACTGATCCACCATTTTTGGAAGTAATAGTGTTTATATCAGTGTAGAGTGCAAAAAAGTATATAGTATGGTGAAATCAGAAGAAGTTAAGTTAAAGATAGATGATGATCCAAAAATTGTTGGGCCAGTCAAGCTTTCTGTTTCGAGGATTAAAAATCTATCACTCTTTCCAATGAAGATCCAAAGGAGGAAACCTCAGGTGGTAAAAAACAAGTAATTTTCGTAATCCTCTTTTAATAAAATCGAATAATGACAATACAAATGATCTGAGTAGTGCAAGGAACTGAAATAAATGCATACTATTTCATGAAATAAGAAAGTTATGCATACATATCTCTATCTTATGATAGTTGTCCAACAATTGGATCATCATCCACATAATAGGGCAAGATTGTTGTCTCTTTGTCAGTTTGCTAGAAAAAAGTTCATGCAAAATAGATATAGGTTGTCATTCTCTCAAATCAACAGCCTATCATAAAAATCAAATGTAGCTGCTTAATGTGGATATAAGATTCACACTCGATTGTCTTTAAGTATATTTGTGGAGAAAAACTCTAAAATCAACAAATGAAAATATGGAATTGAAAAAGGAAGTAACCAAGAAACTAAGTAAAGCAAATGAACTTTGGAAAGAATAAAATAGTAAAAACCTTGCAAAATTGTAAAAGAAAAAGTATGTTGTATTGCTTGATCGTAAGAGGAAAAATCTGCTCTCTCCCAAACACATGCGTTTGAGGTTGTTTTTATAGAAAAAACATGATCAATGCGGTTATTTACTGCTCATAATTGCATTGATCCGCATTAATCATGTAGGTTACAATTTGACCGAAACGGCTTGAATTTGAACTATATTGGGCTTCGCGTGGATCTTCCGAACTCTTGCTTGTTGACTCCGAACTCCCGCGTCTTGACGCTGACGCGAACCTCGAACAATATTCTCCTCGCTTCGGCCTTCCTTTATGCGAACTGTATGTTGAATAAGAGCGAACTTCGTACTGGTAAAGATCGAGCTCTTTAATAAACTGAATCGAACTTCCGATAGGTCGAGCTCGATTCTCGCAATGAAACATCAAGAAATCCAAGAGGATTATTATGTAATAATGACGTGGACAGATCCAAGTGGATCCTACCGAAGATGTGTGGGATCCGACCCCAACATTTAGCCCCCCAAGTCTTGCGAGATGAGTGCTCGGCTTGGAAGACTTAAGTAAACTGTAATTAATGACTCGAGATCTTTAACATTCAAGAATTATTCCATGTTTTTCGCTATTACGCTGATCTCGGATAATCAGATGATTTGATTTCCCTGACAACCGTCATCATTAATTTCTTAATTTTATATTAATACCAAGGGGAAAACTATTCCACTTCCCAATATTCTCGAGGCGGTCTTTCATCATACTTTAGGGTTCTAAGAGGTAATATTACTTTTCCATCTTATCTTCTTTACCTAGAAAACCTTCATCCTTATTACAAAAGTCACTGTTTTCTTTCTGGTAAAAATTCCCTTTCATAAAATGTCGAACCTTTCTTCCGAATTCCGCGAATACGAGGTTGACGATCTCGAAGCTCTCATGGGTGAAGGGTCTGAATCCCAGATTTCAAACCGGAGATGGGTTTGATCTTCACCCCCAGAGTGAATCAACTATCGATTCTCTCAACAATCTTCGTAGATTATGTCTCATCCCCCCTGAGGTAGAGATGGTAGTCCCGGAGCCCTTCGAGTCTCCAGAGTCGGGGCGAGAAGGTTACTGCTGTGCCTATGAAATTTATTTCAAAGGATGCGGCTTATTCCTTCCTCTTCCTGAGGTGCTTCTCGTCTACCTCAATCATCTGGGAATTGCTTTCTCCCAGATGTCGCCCAACATGCTCCGGTATCTTTTGTGTACCCTCACTGTTGCGACGGAGGCAGGGTTACTCATTGGGACTTTGCGAACTCCTAGAACTTTTCCAAGCTCGCGAATCCCGAACTTCTGGGTATTATACCCTTTATCCAAACGCGGATCGGAATCTCATTGATGGCCTTTCTTTAAAGGACACCGCCTGGAGGAAGTTTTGGTTCTTCTTCCGCATAAATAATTTTTCTATTCAAAGTTCTTCCGAACTCCCTCGAACTCACTGGTCATCGAATTTGGGTAGAAATTGGGACTTAACTGAATAAGCTCCCTTTGTTATTTCAAACTGCGTTTCAACATTTCTTTGTTTTCTCGCAGGTCCTCAGATTCGACCAGTTCCATCCGTCGATTTTCTCAAATTTTACAAGGCCGTCTTGGAGAGGCCAGTTAACTGGAATTCTTTTACTCTGGAAAGAATTCACGGCGCCGGGTTTTCTGTCAAAATGACACTTACTCGCCCCGTCGACCCTCCTCCTGCTGAGATTGATCTCTCGAGTCTGAATGCCCGAGACAGGAGAAAGATCAAAGAGGCAAACAAAAAGATAAAAGATCAGATTTCCCTAATCGGGAAAAACAAGAAAAACGCGACTTCCACCGAGGACGACAAAATCTACCGGAAAACTCTCCTTGTTGACGATGGATCTCTTGAAGGTTCAAAGTCAATGGCGGTCGCTGTGAACAGCGCTTCCTCCCCCATCCCAGCAGCAGACAACGTGGTCGCTGCCACCGCTGAGGAAGAACGCCTTACAGGTGATTCTTCTCTCATGAAAAAGAGGAACGCCGAGGACCTTGAACCCCTGCTCCAGGGGCGCCCCAAAAAC